GTTTTTGTTAAGACCCTTTGACAAGATGTTATGTGAAATAAGGTAGACGGGTAGGTACATTGTGTGATTCTTGTCTGTACTGCCACCCATTGAGTTCATTTTTATAAACAATTACTAATGTTGCTGTTACTTGAATTTTATAAATATGAACACGTTTTACCTTATTCAAATTTAATATCTGAAAATGCTCTATTTATTTAACATGTTAACAGGCAACATGAATCAGAAAATATAAAAACCAGTTCTGGTTTCTGTTGCCTAAAAATATGGATACTGTGCTTGATGCTGATTTTTGGCCTGAGGGTGGTTATCCTACACGGTTATTAATGGAATACCCGATAATTATGATAAACAGGAATGATTCCAAGAAATTGAAAGAGGAACAGAGCTGCATGAGTTCTTCATAGGCTCTTTTACATGAATATGGTTGCACAACCTTGTCTGTTTGATCAGAAACTCAGATTTGTAGCTGATTAGACCAGTCACGACATTACAAACTAGGTAAGAAGTTAGGGGTAGTGTTTGAAAATAGGTACTTATAGTACAGAATGCGCAAAATAAATCCATTATCAGTTTGGCTTTGTGTAAGCATGAGTCTGACACCTTAATGATCCAGGAAGGAAACCACTGATATTATGGTGCGTTCGATTATTTCTCTCCAAGTCGGAACTCGGATGAAAACGTCACGAAACGTCACGAAAAACGTCACTTCCCGTCGGAAACACGCCCCTTTTATGACGTTGAAGTCGGACCAGATTTTGTTGGCCGAGTTGCCCCTGTGACGTAATTTCAACATGGCGACTTGGTTTGTTTGTAGTTTGTTTACCGATCGAAAAAAGAATATCGCTATGAATGTACTAAAATATTTTATAAAGCTTTTAATGTGGTTTGACTGGTTCGTGTTTCTTGTTTGTCTCTCGGAAAAATCTCCATTTCTCCATTTTCTCCATTTGGAAAACTCCAAATCTGCTAAAATATAAAGCAACAACACACAGCAACGTGTTCATGGAGGCAGCCATGTTTGTTCCGAGATGTGGGTAGCTCGAACGGGAGATTGTCGGACGTGATGTCACTCAACTCGGAATTTCCGAGTTCCGAGAGAAAAACGAACGCACCATAACTCCCAGACTGGCTGACCACTTTGTGTAAAGGTTATGTGACTTTCATTCCGTATGATAAATGTTTTTCCTCAAATACGCTATGGCAGGTGGCACAAGGACCCTGTATGAGCAGACATATTGTAATGAAAGGCATTAAAAAGTCATCATCAACTTTCTAGCATCCTGCAGGTATTTCACAAAAGTATTAATTTCTAAAATAACAAATCCAGTATGTTTTTCCTTATAAAATTTCTCCAAAGCACTGAAACCGAAACTCCTGATTATCCGTATTAACTTTGTCTAAGTTGCTTGGTTGTGTAATTGTCTTGGGTCTGTGAGCTTTTCAGTTTTCTTAGCCTGGTCTTTGTGGGGAAATACAGGCTTTTGTTCTTGATTATTTAGGCCCAGTTGATTATTACCAGCATCCAAGAAACAGTTTGTTTAACTAAGTAAAACCTATACTGACTCTAAGTAATCACATTCATATTTAACCCTGATCACCTTTAAAGGTCAAAATGAAGGTGCCTCAGGCTCTTGTTTATTTTGACCTTTAGACTGAGTAAGAGTGATCGTTATTTCAGTTGAGTAACTATTCTATCCTTATTAGTAATTTGTTTATACTTATTACTTATAATCCTTCGGTTACATTGATATAAATTTCTAAGTACACATCAGTTGTAACTACATTTACTGTATTGTTGTATAGGAAATCAAAGAAAGCGATTTTCCTACCTTTTAATGTGGGTAAAAACACACCAAAAATTAACATTTATCTCCATACATACCATTGGTGTGTTGCAGTTCTTACTGTTATGTCATGGAAAATGCTTGTCATAATGCAAATGAGAAATGAGTACAATGTAAATATATAAAGAATTTGAATAATGTTAATGACATTTTAAGATCATTTTAAGATCACATCAAGTCAAAGAAATACAGTACACCAGCTATTTGGAGGGAACGATTGTGTAAATTTGCATGTAAGTGGAAATGTGCAGTAAATGAATTGGTGTAGTTTCAGCCTTGCATTTCACAGCTAAGACTTGGAGTATTTGGGTAGAAACACATTTATTGGCTTTCAAAGTTAATCCATCCAGTAATTTGAGAAATTGTAGAGGTTGGGGATCTGGGAGGAGTAGGGGTGAGATGCGGGGCAGGGTGGCAGAGCTGTCCGGGGAATTCATTGCAGTTCAACCACAATTTCTTGCATGTGGGAGCAGGGTAGTCATGCCTGAAAATATATTGTGGTGTGACATCTGCATGATTATTGAATGTACTGCTGTATTATTAATATGGTCTTACAGATATAGGCAAGTAATTAAAACTGATATCTGAACATAATGTATGGGTATATAAATAGCTTTTGCATTTTTTCATTTGTCTTCTGTACATGTATTTTGATTGTGATTTAAAAATGTTGCAGATGGAGCTTGAAGTAATTTAAAAAAAAATTAGTATAAATCAGGACTCCTGTGTTGTAAATGACAGCTTTCTTGACCTTTTCAGTCCTTTTCATGCAAACATTGTGCCCAAAGTGACATGTAAGTGAGGATCAGAGAACAGGGTCAGTGTTCATGGAGCTGCTGGGATTAAGGGCCTTACTGAGTGGCTCAGTGGTAACTTTGTGTTTTTAACGAGTAACCTCCCAAATGGTCACTAACCCACAGTGCGCCACCATTGCTCACCATTGTTTTGAGAGTGATTTCTGCAGTGTTCTTCCTCAAAGTAATTAATTGAGTTTTCCCTCTCGATGTATGCTAGGGTAAAAATGTTTTTCCAAATTATGCACTGAAATTTCAGCAACCGAAAATATTTGGTCAAAAAAATTTGTTTTGGTCGAAAAACCAAAAAGTCTGAAATTTCTGATCAAATTTGAGACATTTAACACTAGAACCGGCAGCATTTTTTCAACTTCCTCTAACTGCCAGCTGCAACATGCTTCAGCATGTGACACCTTTTCTTTTTGCTAATGGACCATTGTGTTAACATAACGTCCATCCATCAAGAAAACAATGGTGCAGTCAGTAATCCTCACAGCTGCAGAGAGAGCTGCTGTCACCCCGAAAAAACCGCAAAAACCTTGTGTTTACTTTCACTTTGCATCCCATCTGCTGCCGGGAAAAATTACAATGTCAGGTTGGTAATTAAGTGTTTTACCTGGGTTGATTTATATAAAAACATTGCTTTATATAGCTGTTAAAAAGTGGAAACTTTGAAGAACATGAAATCACCAATGTCCCAAATTCAGTACAGGACCCAATTCATATAATTACACTGAAATAAATACCTAAAGATCATTGTAAAAAAACTGTTTTGAAACCAGATCTGTTCATATACACTCACCTAAAGGATTATTAGGAACACCATACTAATACGGTGTTTGACCCCCTTTCGCCTTCAGAACTGCCTTAATTCTA